GTCGGTCCCACGGGGGAGGCGAGGGGCGGTGTCACGGGGGAGGCGAGGGGCGGTCCCACGGGGGAGGCGAGGGGCGGTCCCACGGGGGAGGCGAGGGGCGGTGTCACGGGGGAGGCGAGGGGCCGTGTCACGGGGGAGGCGAGGGCGGTGTCCCGGGGGAGGCGAGGGGCGGTCCCACGGGGGAGGCGAGGGGCCGTGTCACGGGGGAGGCGAGGGGCGGTCCCACGGGGGAGGCGAGGGGCGGTCCCACGGGGGAGGCGAGGGGCCGTGTCACGGGGGAGGCGAGGGGCGGTGTCACGGGGGAGGCGAGGGGCGGTCCCACGGGGGAGGCGAGGGGCGGTCCCACGGGGGAGGCGAGGGGCCGTGTCACGGGGGAGGCGAGGGGCGGTGTCACGGGGGAGGCGAGGGGCCGTGTCACGGGGGAGGCGAGGGGCGGTGTCACGGGGGAGGCGAGGGGCGGTGTCACGGGGGAGGCGAGGGGCCTTGTCACGGGGGAGGCGAGGGGCCGTGTCACGGGGGAGGCGAGGGTCGGTCCCATGGGGGAGGCGAGGGGCCGTGTCACGGGGGAGGCGAGGGGCCGTGTCACGGGGGAGGCGAGGGGCGGTGTCACGGGGGAGGCGAGGGGCGGTGTCACGGGGGAGGCGAGGGGCCGTGTCACGGGGGAGGCGAGGGGCCGTGTCACGGGGGAGGCGAGGGGTGGTCCCACGGGGGAGGCGAGGGGTGGTCCCACGGGGGAGGCGAGGGGCGGTGTCACGGGGGAGGCGAGGGGCGGTCCCACGGGGGAGGCGAGGGGCGGTCCCACGGGGGAGGTTAGGGGCGGTGTCACGGGGGAGGCGAGGGGCGGTGTCACGGGGGAGGCGAGGGGCCGTGTCACGGGGGAGGCGAGGGGCGGTGTCACGGGGGAGGCGAGGGGCCGTGTCACGGGGGAGGCGAGGGGCCGTGTCACGGGGGAGGCGAGGGGCGGTGTCACGGGGGAGGCGAGGGGCCGTGTCACGGGGGAGGCGAGGGGCGGTCCCACGGGGGAGGCGAGGGGCGGTCCCACGGGGGAGGCGAGGGGCGGTGTCACGGGGGAGGCGAGGGGCGGTCCCACGGGGGAGGCGAGGGGCGGTCCCACGGGGGAGGTGAGGGGCGGTGTCACGGGGGAGGCGAGGGGCGGTCCCACGGGGGAGGCGAGGGGCCGTGTCACGGGGGAGGCGAGGGGCCGTGTCACGGGGGAGGCGAGGGGCGGTGTCACGGGGGAGGCGAGGGGCGGTGTCACGGGGGAGGTGAGGGGCCGTGTCACGGGGGAGGCGAGGGGCGGTGTCACGGGGGAGGCGAGGGGCGGTCCCACGGGGGAGGCGAGGGGCGGTCCCACGGGGGAGGCGAGGGGCGGTGTCACGGGGGAGGCGAGGGGCGGTTCACGGGGGAGGCGAGGGGCCGTGTCACGGGGGAGGCGAGGGGCGGTGTCACGGGGGAGGCGAGGGGCCGTGTCACGGGGGAGGCGAGGGGCCGTGTCACGGGGGAGGCGAGGGGCCGTGTCACGGGGGAGGCGAGGGGCGGTCCCACGGGGGAGGTGAGGGGCGGTGTCACGGGGGAGGCGAGGGGCGGTGTCACGGGGGAGGCGAGGGGCCGTGTCACGGGGGAGGCGAGGGGCCGTGTGACGGGGGAGGCGAGGGGCGGTCCCACGGGGGAGGCGAGGGGCCGTGTGACGGGGGAGGCGAGGGGAGGTGTCCCGGGGGAGGCGAGGGGCGGTGTCACGGGGGAGGCGAGGGGCCGTGTCACGGGGGAGGCGAGGGGCCGTGTCACGGGGGAGGCGAGGGGCGGTGTCACGGGGGAGGCGAGGGGCCGTGTCACGGGGGAGGCGAGGGGCGGTCCCACGGGGGAGGCGAGGGGCGGTGTCACGGGGGAGGCGAGGGGCGGTTCACGGGGGAGGCGAGGGGCCGTGTCACGGGGGAGGCGAGGGGCGGTGTCACGGCGGAGGCGAGGGGCCATGTCACGGGGTGGCGAGGGGCCGTGTCACGGGGGAGGCGAGGGGCCGTGTCACGGGGGAGGTGAGGGGCGGTCCCACGGGGGAGGTGAGGGGCGGTGTCACGGGGGAGGCGAGGGGCGGTGTCACGGGGGAGGCGAGGGGCCGTGTCACGGGGGAGGCGAGGGGCCGTGTCACGGGGGAGGCGAGGGGCGGTGTCACGGGGGAGGCGAGGGGTGGTGTCACGGGGGAGGCGAGGGGCCGTGTCACGGCGGAGGTGAGGGGCGGTCCCACGGGGGAGGTGAGGGGCGGTGTCACGGGGGAGGCGAGGGGCGGTGTCACGGGGGAGGCGAGGGGCCGTGTCACGGGGGAGGCGAGGGGCCGTGTCACGGGGGAGGCGAGGGGCGGTGTCACGGGGGAGGCGAGGGGTGGTGTCACGGGGGAGGCCAGGGGCCGTGTCACGGGGGAGGCGAGGGGCCGTGTCACGGGGGAGGTGAGGGGCGGTCCCACGGGGGAGGTGAGGGGCGGTGTCACGGGGGAGGCGAGGGGCGGTGTCACGGGGGAGGCGAGGGGCCGTGTCACGGGGGAGGCGAGGGGCCGTGTCACGGGGGAGGCGAGGGGCGGTGTCACGGGGGAGGCGAGGGGCCGTGTCACGGGGGAGGCGAGGGGTGGTGTCACGGGGGAGGCGAGGGGCGGTGTCACGGGGGAGGCGAGGGGTGGTGTCACGGGGGAGGCGAGGGGCCGTGTCACGGGGGAGGCGAGGGGCCGTGTGACGGGGGAGGCGAGGGGCGGTCCCACGGGGGAGGCGAGGGGCCGTGTGACGGGGGAGGCGAGGGGCGGTGTCACGGGGGAGGCGAGGGGCGGTGTCACGGGGGAGGCGAGGGGCGGTCCCACGGGGGAGGTGAGGGGAGGTCCCACGGGGGAGGCGAGGGGCCGTGTCACGGGGGAGGTGAGGGGCGGTGTCACGGGGGAGGCGAGGGGCGGTGTCACGGGGGAGGGGAGGGGCGGTCCCACGGGGGAGGTGAGGGGAGGTCCCACGGGGGAGGCGAGGGGCCGTGTCACGGGGGAGGTGAGGGGCGGTCCCACGGGGGAGGCGAGGTCTGAACCAAGATGGCAGAGGTGGGGGAATGTGCCCTGCAGGATGTCTGGGGAAAACATCCCAGGCAGAGGGAAGGGCCAGGTAAAGGCCTTGTGGCAGGGGGATGCTGGTGTATTCCAGGAGAATCAAGGAAGCCAGGGTGGCTGTGCCAGAGGGGAAAGGGGAGAGACAGAGGCCGGGAGGTCGGAGATGGGGGAGTGGGCCAGAGAGCTTCAGAATGACTAAGTTATATAAAGTGGTGACAGGTTTCTGAAGGCGGGCGGGGGAGGCGGCTGTTGCAGTGACCGGGTGAGACGATGCAGCTCAGACCAGGATGGATGCGGGGTGCGCAGCCACCGCGTTCGTGAGGACACCTTGACGGTGGAGCCCGTAGCATTTGCTCGAGGTTAGATGCGGTGTGTGACAGGAAGAGATGGTCAAGGAGGGCGCCAAGCTTCTGAGCCACCCGATGGAAGGGTGTGAGGCGGAACTTTCCGAGTGGCCCTGCCGCTTCCCCTGGGCAAGTGAGCTCCTTAACGTCTCTGTGCGGCAGTTCCCTCGACTGCAGATTTGCGAGAGTAACAGTCCCAACCCCGCCTAGGTATTGTGAGGTCTGACCCAGTGCAGAGTAAGTGCTCAGTAAATACTGTGTGTGTGTGTGTGTGTGTGTGTGTGTGTGTGTGTGTGTGAGTCGCTCAGTCGGGTCCGACTCTCCGACCCCATGGCCTGTAGCCCGCCAGGCTCCTCTGTCCGTGCGATTCTCCCGACAGGAGTACTGGAGTGCGTTGCCATTTCCTTCTCCAGTAAATATTAGCTCTCCTAATTACTAGGATTGCCGTTACTGGTGTAGAATCTAGACTAGCAGTCAGCAGCGTGCAGCCTGAGGGGCCTGTTTTGGTGAATCAGGAATCCTTGGGTCACGGCTGCTTGCGTGCTGTCTGCGGCTGCTTTCCTGCCCCAGGGCAGAGTTGGACAGCTGCAACATCGTATGACTGCAAAACTGGAAATATTCACTCCCTGATCCCCTGCAGAAAGTTTGCTCATCTCCGTTGTAAACCAAACGACTCTTTTTCAGAGTAGGTTTTAGTCAAGGTTTCTTATGCTATTCTTAAGGTGTCAGGACAGGGGTGGGGGGGGTGCAGCCGATGACCTTTGTACCCCACTCCATCCCTGACGCTCTGTGACCTCCCCCCGCCCCACACCTCTGGCTCCATCAGGTGCTAGCTCTGGGAGAGATGTGGGAGGCTTGTACCCCTTGCTTCTCAAGGGCAGCGCTCCTGATAATCACCTGCCCATCACAGCGCTTGCGTGACACGATGCTGTAGAATCTCACGGCTGAGTGGAGGGATTAATAGCTGATGGCGTGCCTGGTCCCAGAGAGTCAGATCAGACCCTGATCTGCCAGCAGCCAAAGCATGCACCTTCCCTCATCCCTGCCTCCCTGCCACGCTCCGCAGGGTCTCTCCAGGCAAAGCCACCCATTGGCAACCGGCTTGGAAAGAATGCAGAGCAGCCTGGGAGGCACCTGGCCAAGGTGTGATGCAGCCGCAGCTCTCAATGGCCGTGTGACCTGGGGCAAGATACCTAGCCTCTCTGAGCCTAGCTTTTCTCACGTGTAAAAGATGGATGGTTTTTACGTCTGGCTGCCAGTGGAAACTCGTTTTCTCAGGGACCTTGGCTGCCTTGTCTGACGTGACACCAGCACCCAGTCATGGGCCTGGCACATGGCAGGTGCTCAGAAAACGTTTGTTGAGAGAAAAGGGGGGAGCAGAACTCATACGGTGTAGGCGTCCAAGTGAAAGCCAAAGTGTTAGTCGCTTCATCGTGTCCGACTCTTTGCAACCCATGGACTGCAGCCCACCAGGCTCCTCTGACCGTGGGATTCTCCAGGCAAGATTACTGGAGTGATTTCCTTCTCCAAGGGGTCGTCCCCACCTAGGGCTCTAACCCGGGTCTCCTGCATTGCAGATTCCTTACCCTCTAAGCCCTCCGGGAGCCTGTCGGCGTCCAAACCACGGCCATTCACGATAAGAATAATGTTGCTGTAGACTGTAGAGTTCTCTGAAGCCCGGCATCGCCACCTGCCCGGCCAGGTGCAAGTTCCAGGGTGCAGGTAGGGCTTCACCAGCTGCAGGGGAAAGGGAGGGGGCTGGGGAGGCCCAGATGTGCTCGGATTCCTGCTCGAGGAGGTGAGAAAGCGAGGGCCGTGGGCGGCTCTGACTCACGGAGACAGGTGAGAGACGACAAGACAGACGGAAAGATGGATCAACAGACAAACGGAAGACAGGCGGGCAGGCAGACAGGGTGCCAGGCAGGTGGATAAATAGGCGGTGAGTGATGGCAGGGGTCCTGTGCCCCCCGCTGTCACCCGCTGCTAGTAAGACAGATGGGATCGTGTTGACTCAGTGCCGGAGGGGTGCCAGAACCTCAGGGAAGTTTCTGAGGGGGCAGGGCTGGATCGCCTGAGTCTGTCTTTACAGGCAGATGCTGCTCAGAGCAGGCGTTGGGACGGAGGGAGGCAGAGTGGCCGCAGAGCCTGGAGGTGGGAGCGGGGCTGGCGCTCCCTGACCTTGTGACTTGACCTTGTGACTTCTCCTCCGGGCCTGAGAGCCTTCCATGGGCCGAGGTCGTGGTGAGAGGAGGCAGCAGGGACATCTCCGAGACTGGGGTGCACGCCGCTGTGAGTGGGGTGACCACGCTCAGGCACCCGGGCGCCTGTCTGACAGCGGCTGGGCGAGCAGAGTGACAAGATGCGGAGCCGTGATGAGGTGAGGACAGTTGGCATCTGCTCGCCCGAGTGTGGCTCTGTCAGTTGCGCGGAGTAGGCGCTTAACAGTGAAACTGGGGCGCGGGGGATCGAAATCACAGTTGCTGGCTTGTCAGCCAGACGGCCCGCCTCTGGGGGTGCCGTGGGGTGAGTCCCCTTGCTTCACAGCAGCTGGACCGGCCTCTGGGCGCAGAGCCCGGGTCGCTGTCCCCCAGTCTCGCAGCACCCCCACAGTGTTGTCTTGACATCAGAGGCAGAATTTGCTACATGATTTGCAGAACCCAGTGCAAAATGAAAATGTGGGGGTCCCTTGTTCAAAAATTGTGAAGAATTTCAAGGCAGCGGGAGACGGACTGAACTGAGCCCTGCGTCCCCGCATGGACTGCATCTGCACAGCTGAGCCTGCCTGGGGGCACTCGGTCCGTGACTAGTGTGACGGTTGGGGGAGGGAATTCTTGAGGCCAGGGGCTGCTGAGCTGGGATCCTCAGTCTAGGCCTCAGATCTATCACTTCCTGGGTCTGTGTCTTTGGGCGGGTCCCTTAATCTCTGTGCCTCAGTTTCTTCATTTGTAATATGGAAGTAATAAGAGCACCCAAGCCATAGACTTGTCGTGAAACATGAATGACTAGACACAGCGCCTGGCACAAGTACCCGATAAATATCAGCTGCTGTTAGCACCGTGCTGAACAAGCTACGCAGCTAGGAGGTGACCGGGTCCAGAACTGGAGCCAGGACGGTCTAGGTCAAAGCCCCACTCCCAGCCCTGGACTGTGCATCGGCCTTTCCCAGGCCTTGCGGCCCCAGAGATGGGCAGGAGCTTGCTAAACCCCTCGAGGTGCTTTTGTGGCTCAGATGGTAAAGAATCTGCCTGCGATGCAAGAGACCTGGGTTCAGTTCCTGGGTGGGGAAGATCCCCTGGAGAAGGAAATGGTAACCCTCTCCAGTATTCTGGCCTGGAGAATCCACATAGCAGAGGAGCCTGGCGGGCTACAGTCCATGGGGTTGCAAAGAGTTGGACATGACTGAGCGACCAACACTAGCATCTTACTCAGAGATGCTCACGGCGTGTCGCCACCTGCGGACACTGGCTCCGAGCCCCGTCTTTCCCACAGAACTGCTTCCTGGTGTCCCCTTCTCCCCCTGCCCCTCAAACGTGCCCTTGACTCTTGCTGGTCTCACTGGATGAAGGCATGGGCTGGAGAGGGGAGTCTCTGTGACCTGTGATGATACACAGGTGTCCTGTGAGGAGGTGTCCTCAGGGGTGAGCAGAGTAGGGTCACTTGGGACAGGGGTGGGTTTGCAGCCCCTGGGATTCCCTACACCCAAGATGCCACCCTTGAGATACGAGCCTTCGATCTGACTTCATATGTGAGGTTTAGATACTTCAGATGACCGTAGATTTACGAACTCTCCCTACAAGTGACCAAAGATAAAACTCAGGCAGATACTCCATGTGTGGACATAACAGGCAGACCAGCCTCATGTGGGAGGTTAGGCAGGAAGTGTGGGGAGTTGGGCAGATCCCCGTGGGCTTCCTGGAGGAGCTGCTGCTTTGACAGGCAGGGCAGGGCTGGCGGCGGTCTTCTGCAGTCTCCCCCCATCACGGGGAGCGTGTGGCTATGGCAGTGGCAGGCCCTGCACCTCGGTAGGAGAAGGGTCTGGGCACCCTCTAGTCCTTTGCATCTGGGGGGCCCAGGTTTCAGCAGGTCTAACACTGGGTAGGGGACACCAGGAGGAGCGCGGGCTGGGACCAGGTGGGGGAGGCAGAGGTTGGCGGGGACAGCAGGAGGAGCGCGGGCTGGGACCAGGTGGGGGGGGGGGGGGCAGAGGCTGGCCGGCAGCTCATTAGGGCATCATGGACCAGGAGCTTGTGTCTGGTATTTATTCTAAGCCATGAGAGATCTTTGCAGAATTTTAAGCACAGAAATGATTTGATTTGATTTAAGCTTTTAAAAGATCAATCCCTCCAGTTGTTGGGTGGAGAATGGACGGAAGGGAGCTAAGAGTGGCGATGGGAAGACCAGTGAGAGGTTTACATCATCATCCAGGCAGGTGACAGTGGCCTGGGCCAGGGCGGGTAGTCGGCATGTTGGAGATTTATTTCAGAGGTGGAATTCCCAAGACATGTCACTGAGGTGGGGAAGAAGGAAAGCAGAGACTCAAGCCTGACTCCTTGGGAGGATTAAGGATAGAGACATGGGGTAAAGGAGGATTCCCATTCAGGTCTTTTGGAGTCTGAGCTTCCATCGAGGTCTCCTGGGGCACTGGTGGGAGATCCCAGGGCTCAGAAGTGAAGGTGACCCCTTCCCTCACTGAGTTCATGTTCAAGGGTGGCCCAGGGGACCCACCCCAGCCAAAGGAATGATTCTTCTTTCCACACAACCTTCTGAAGAGATTCTAAAGGTAAATCCAAGCAGGAGGCATGGAGAGCAGGTAAAGGGCTCATTCATCTGAGTGCTTTCTTGAGGGGCTGTGGGTCCTCATAGAAAGTCCCTCTGTGCTATCCTGGCGGTTGGTAGATCCTACCTCTGAAATGAAGGATTTTGTGTAGTCTGGGGAGAGGAAAGGAAGAAAGAAGAGGAGACCGGGAGAATGAGGCAGAAAGACGGAAGCAGAAGTGGGAGGGGAGGAGTTTGGAAGATGCAGCGAGACTGATGAGGTGGAAGGTTGGAGAGAGGAAGGGATGTGGAGGGCAGAGGTGGAGACGGGCTCAGAAAGCAGATTCAGGTGGAAAGAGTCGGAGATGAAGATGGACAGCGTTATTGTTAGGGTTCTGGGGCGGGGAGAATGGGTCAATTCAGAGCACACTTGACAATTTAATGCGGGACCATTCATAGAGAAGAAACCTTGATGCTGGGAAAGATTGAGGGCAGGAGGAGAAGGGGACGACAGAGGACGAGATGGTTGGATGGCATCACTGACTCAATGGACATGAGTTTGAGCAAGCTCCGGGAGTTGGTGACGGAGAGGGAGGCCTGGCATGCTGCAGGCCATGGGGTCACAAAGAGTCGGACACAACTGAGCGACTGAACAACCACACATTCACAGAGAGGTGGTGAGCTTAGGGGGAGCCAGTGAAGGAGGGCAGGGGACGAGGGAGGGCAGCGGCGAGGCGCCTAAAGCCAAGGTGAGGGAGTGGGTACCAGAACCCAGCAAGTGATGGCGGGGCGGTGGGTGGGAGCTGCAGCAGGAAAGACAGAGCCCAGGGCTGCAGAGAATATCCCCCACACCATCTCCTCTGGCCTCGGACCTCCTACCACTGCCTCCCGGGTCAGCAGAATCCAGTGTCAAGGGATCCCGGGGAGGCGCAGGAGAGATCAGCCCTTGGACACAGAGCCTGTGCCCTGTGACAGGAGCCGGGCAGGGATGTGGAAGGGCAGACAGAGAACCTGGACCAGGGAGGGTGAGACAGAGGGAGCGGTGGGACCGTGGAAAGGTGGGGCTGGAAGCGAGAGGAAGTGAGGAGGGAGGGATGCAAGTGAGAAACGGCTGACCGGGCAGAGGGAGACAAAGGCCCGGGAAAGCAGGGGTCATCAGCTGGCGACATTCCCCGTGATCATTGGCTTTGGTTCTCTTAGAGCCACGGGCCTGGGGCCCAGATAAAACACTTTTGTCGCCAGAGCTCTGAACACTCTCCATAGAGTCATTCGCTCCCACTTTGTGTTGACACAGGAGGATAATTAAAGGAAAAAGGCTCTTGACATTCTGGTTCTGGGTTTGGGGTTTAGCCTAATGAACTGCAGGCCTCTCTGCCTCACCTTGCCATTCATTCTGGAAGTCGCGGATGCTCTGGGCACAAAGAGGCCGCTGACTTGAGCGTTCCAGTGCCCGCTGGTGGCCAGGTCTCTTGCCACTCTGCCAGGACTCAGTTAAACCCGGGGCTGGGAGTGGGCCCTCACAGGATGCTGGGGTCCCGACAGAGGCCTGGATGGTGCCCTGGCCGAAGCTGGATTTGAAGGGTTCCAGCTCTTGGAGGTGTTTGACGTAGACAGTGTCCCCCCAAAGCCTGCCCGTGATGTGGTCAGGGTGAAAAGCTTCCGTATTCTGATGTGCTTGAAAAAACATATCCCCCTGAGTCGAGCTGTGACCTCTTTGTGCGAGGAACTTGAGGAAGACCCAGACAGGGTCATTTCAGGGGCCCATCAGGTCAGTCCAGGGAAGACCTGGGCAGCTTGAGGAGTCTTTGGGTTTCTGTTTGTATTTCTTTGATACCACTGAAGCCCCGTCTGGGAGGTGGCCTTCCGGAAGCACCTCTGCTCCTCAGTGTCCCACGCTGGGCTGACCACAGCCCCCTTCTGGGAGCAGTCCTGCCCTCGCCTCCACGAGGGGAGGCCAGAGGGGAGTTCATGGTGGTCAAGCT